ATATATTTAAAATTCAGAGCACATGTTAATTTCCTAACAAGTGAATATATGGCTTATGCTGCCATTTTTATTGTGTGCAGCTTATTGGTGTGTATTTTTGTGATGGTTGGGGATGAGGTGATAAATGGTTTAGCATTCTTCTTACACTCATTTCTGTGTAATCCTGCATTGTAGATGAGAAACCATGCACTGACAGCGAACATGAGCTGGAGCATCCTGACGAGCACTGCACTGGCTCCAACAGCCCAGGACCTGAACCTGTGTCCCCATACAGCTCCAGGTGTGAGGAGCGAGACAGGCCTAGCTCAGAAAAAAAGGATGACTCTATATTCAGTATAAGGAACCTTGAGAAAGACAAAGCAGAGAGCAGGCACAGAAAGGACACCATGGACGCACTGACAAAAGACTCAGAGGGCGGACCTATTGGTGCCAGTAAGGATGCCTTCTCCCCTCTCATGGTCCAGACTGAGAGCCCCTCACACTTCAGCCCAGGACATTTACAAAGCCTGGCTCTGACTGGCCTGCATAGTCAGCAGTTCTTTAACCCTCTAAACACCGGATCACCACTGTTGTTTCACCCTGGGCAGTTTGCCATGGCCCCTGGAGCCTTCTCTGCCATGGGCATGGGGCATCTATTGGCCTCTGTATCTGGTGCAAGTGGTTTGGAAAATGGCAACCTCTCCGCCCAGGGCACTGGAGGAACCCCCAGCTCCTTCCCCTTCCATCTGTCCCAGCACATGCTCACCTCTCAGGTGAGGAGGGTCACCCAGTCAGAAACTGATTTAATTTACCTGTACACCTGTAGCACTGAACTGATGTCAGCAGGAGAGGGAAGTCGGAGCTTCACAGTCAGAGTCTGGAAAGGATCAGTTCTTAAAGACCGTAGCTATTTATGTCAGCCTCACCTTGCACAGTACAACACCAACAGTAGTTAGTCTTGCATGAATCAGAGCTCAGTTTAGTTCAGTCAAACAATATTTTATGTATTAATGTGCTAATATAACGGACTTCTGTGCATTTGTATTAAAACATGAAGCTTTAACAAAGTGTGCAGTCATCATAGTAAATGTTAGACACGTTACCTGGCATCTCTGAAAAGTGTAAAAAGAAACGTATAAATACTCTGAAGTAATGAACCTGTTTGGTTGTTGTTTTCGTGTTGGAAAAATATATTGCTAATTTGATTATTTGACCACTTGACTGGGAATAATGCTGTGTACAGCTGTGACTCCATGTCTTTTCTTTTTCATATTTCAGGGCATCCCGATGCCTCCATTTGGAGGTCTTTTCCCATACCCCTACACCTACATGGCAGCAGCTGCAGCAGCAGCCTCAGCCCTCCCCACCACCAGCACCTCCAACCCTCTTTCCAGGAACCCCTTCCTGGGTTCGTCCCGACCTCGGCTCCGCTTCAATCCTTACCAGCTCCCAGTGTCGCTGCCTCAGAGTTCCAGCCTGCTCACCACCAGCTTGTCCAGGGGACTCAACCCAGGCTCAGAATCCTCCAAACTGGCCAGCAGGGAGACCAGCCCAGCCCCAGAGCACCACAGCAACCACAAGACAGGAGGATCAAGTGGGAGGGCTGCATCTCCCAAAACCTCCATAAAGGACTCAGTGAATGAGCTGCAAAGCATCCAGAGACTAGTGAGTGGCCTGGAGGGCCAAAGGGCGCCTTCCCCGGCTGCAGACTCTCCCAACTGATAAAGATTCTCTGTTTGGGATGAGATTTTGGCTTGAACACCAGAGGACTCTGACAGCATATGTCCTGTACACCACATTGCAGAGACTGGGATAATGTTTGATTGATAAGTCTTGGTGAAGCTGAAAGCTGATATTTTTGGAACAAAGCTGTAGACTGACCTGAAAGCTGTAGATTGAACCTTTTTTTAAATTCACAAGTATTAAAGGTTTCTCCTAAAACTGTCCTTCTAGAAAGAGTGGGAAGCCTGTCAGACAACATTTTGATGATTATCAGACATGAAAACTTTGCCTTGAATCCCATGATTCTAAGGTTAGCTCAAATATATATACTGTATAAGTAAACAAATAATGAAAGGATAAAAATAAAAACTTTAGACAATACAACAAAACAAAACAAAAATCTAGAAAACTATCAATTCCCCCAAGGCAGTGTCATTTCAAGTACAAAAAATGTAAGGTATCAAATTTTCTCATGTCCATTATAACAGGGGGACCAGACAAGGCCAGTATCGGTCGTGTATTGGTCTAACCAGCCTGAGGCTCCACAGACTAAGAGGCGCACAGTGGAAATTGTGTGCTGACTTTGATTAACTTGAAGCATTTAAGCACCCAGGCCTGGTTTTTAAACACCAAGCCGAGCTGACAGACAGGTCTCAAGCTGTACCCAAAGCCCTTTTCCAGGCCTAATCATTTCAAAAGGGATGGAAGAAGAACATACCCTTTGCGTGAGAGAGAAAGAGCCGCTTATCATTTCACGCCAGAAAAACCTGTTTTTTTTTTTACTATTTATGTAATTAAAAATAAAAAAAATCTGTAAATAAAGCTAAGATCCAAGAATATGCAATTGTTATTAATTTATTCAAGGCTGTATATTAGCGTGTATATATTTCGAATTTAACTCGTTGCTTTTTTGCCCCTTCCCCCATTTTTCATGAACATATACTGTAAATGAAAGCTATTTAGCGCTTGTTGGTTTGGAAAAAGCTATGTATGCAGCATCGCTGATTTCTAGGAGACGTGTGTGCCATGTTTTAGTCTGCATCCACCGACACATACAGAGGAACAGAGAAAAAGGCTCCACACAAACCACCTCAGGTTATTTCACTCCAGCCAGGAGACATTCAAAGCAATTCCTCCTATGGGCGCAACATTCATATCTATTCATAAATATATTTAAGATGAAAGTATCTTTATGCTGTTGCCCGAGTTTTTTTTTTTTTAATGTCTCACAATTTCAATAAAAATCGTGCTGAAAGCTTCAGTAGGCCTATCATCATTATTATTACTATTATTATCATCATCATCATCTAATCCGAGTAAAACCGCCGTCATCTATGGTTTAACACTGTATTGTAGTGTAACACACACACACACACACACACACACACACACACATTGAGATTGGGCAGGCGCGCCCTCTGTCGGTCATATATTTAAACAGAAAAGGCAGCTTCTGTCTGTGGTTTGTTAAATTTGAGTAGATTGAGTTCAATTCCATGTTACTAAATACAACACATATATAACGACGTATAACAAGATGGGGAATGTTGAAATGTTTTACATAATGCCTCAAACTACTCATTTTAAATACTATATTTCTTATGTTGCGCTATAATGGACGAGTACAATAAAAGAAAGCGGTTTATTATTTTTTAGAATTGTTTCAGTATTTGTATAAAGCCAGTGGTAAAGATCAGCAATATATCTATAAATATTTATTTCCGTTAACTCGCGTCCATGGATATTTTAAGCAGGTCCTCAGTCACCGTCAACCAGCATTTCCTTCAGTATTGTGTGGCTGCCAGCATTTTTAGAAAGCGTCGTACACTAATGTAAGTATTTATAGGAAGAACTTTCGCTGGCACACATCCGATGCAGCAAAGAGCAGCTGTTAATTGTTAACTATTTCACTCAGGATAGCTGTGCTTCTAACCTATGTGCATATTAAATATGTTTTTATGTGCGAAAATAAGCTTCGCCTAATATTATGACTTATTAATAGCCTATAGGTCGAATAGTCACGATGTCCAGATGCTACACCCAGGATCACTTTTTTTTATTTATTTAAGACAATGTCATTTATGTGAAATTGCCGGAAAATGCATTTTTGTATGTGAATTTACAACATTTATTCGGCACCAAAATCCAAATGTGCCCCCGCTTAGTGAGAGAACACGATGCAGCGACACCACATTGTGTGCGTGTGACCGTATGTGTGCGTGTGTGTCGGTTTAAAGGGTTAAGCAGGGGGGAGTTTAGGGCAGTAGACAGTCTTTTGTCCGGGACACGGCGCCTGTCGCCTGCATGCCGGCCACAGCCTCCACACCGCCCGCTTCCTAATTAGAGTACCCCTCCTCCTCCTTCTCCTCCTTCTCCTCCTCCTCCTCCTCCTCCTCCCTTCATCTTCATTCTCTTTTCGTTCTGCAGCAATAATCACAAAACTCATTCTATGATGGAGGCCATTGCTGCTGTTAGCTTCAATTAACAGAGAGAAGGACTCTGGAAGAAGAAGAGTATTTGTCTAAATCAATCAGTCAATGAGTGATCAGTAGGCTCGCCGTGGATCATCACTAATGGCTGGTGATGGTGTGGGCTACAAAGGCCAAGATTATTCATAGCTTTGTCAACTGATAGGTGTAGGCCGATGTTGTTATTTAAGCCAGAAGAGAAGGTGTGCCACATGCGTTTCAGCAAAGATAAACACACCGTCCCTGGTCTTTACTGTAGGGAACCTACAGGAGACCACAGAAGGCTGGCCTTCACTTTCTCTCTTCTCTCCTTATCTACAGAACAGGAGATTTCAGAGCCAGTCCCACATCAGCCTGCAGATAGTCTATTCTGGATATATGGTGTGTAACTGTAACTTCAGTGGTTTAACACCATGTAAAGGTTTTCCTTTTGCTCTCTCTCTCTATTTTCCAGTTATGTGTGTGATTAAATAGTCATACATATAGGTTTGGTATTACATTCCACATTCTAGATTAAACATGTTTATGGCTTGAAATGTAGTGGTAGAGACTAAATCACTATATTAATTTAACAAGTATTTAAGCATAACTTTGAGGCATTTTTTTGACTATTTCAATTTTATGCAGCCCATGTACCCATGTCAGAAGTAAATGTCATATGATTCTATGAAAGCTGTCTAAAGAACATTTTACATCTAACATTAGGTTATAAATATAACAATTGCTATTAACTAAAATTCCCCAAAGTATATTAAATTATTTCAAATTAGCACAAAAAAGAAAACAGCATCCATTATAATAAACTGATATTAATAAGAAGCAATAATATACAGTACCTACTTAAATACTCAAAGTGTCAATACATTGTACTTACACATTTGAACTCAAGTAGACTTTTGAATGCAACACTTTCAGTTGTAATGGAATATGTTTAGACCACTACGGTGAGTATCCTCACTTCTAATGAGCTCATATACAGTGCTGAACATCAAAATGCAATAAGTTTTGTTACAATCACTGAATTAGCTTAATTCAAGTAGGAAGGAGCAGCGTGTATTATTAGACTGGACCTAGCCACTGTTTTTAATGTTTTTAACACAAACCTGTTGATGTTATGTGATTTATGATATGAAGGGGAAAGAAAAGACAGCACCAGACTCACTCTGCACAAACCTTCTTCAGGTCCCAGTAGACACTGTTTGATTTGGATCTTTGAGGATAAGAGCAATGTATTTTAGACCTGAAACAGCTAGATGCCTAGATTTGATACCAACTATATAGATCTTAAAGCTCTCCCCTTTAAAGTTGCTAAATAAACCAGTGAAATTGTGGAAACAATTCCACTATATAAGCAGTATCTAAACTGCAACAAGTTGTCTATGGTTCTGTTTGTGACTGATAGAACAGTAGAGTCTGACAGCGCTAGGAAATAACCACAAGACCGCTGTGGTGCCAACTGATGGCATGCTGTTCTGCTGCAGCTCTGCCATAACTAACAGCACAGGCAGGCTATTGGCTGTTGGGCTCAGGTGTGGCCATGGCACTGGTCCTCATCTAAGCAGGAGGGGTCCAATCGCAGACCACTCTTTTGGGAGTAGGTGAGGAGGAGGAAGAAAACACACAGTCTTTATCTTCCCTGCAACACTTAAACAAGCCAGTTCTTCACACTAACAGTTGCATATACTGTACACAGAGGCAGAAAATAGAAATGCAAAGTTGTTTTTTTTGTTAAACATTTCATCAATAAAGCGAGATTGACCTTTGACTTTGACCTTGACCTTTGAGATGTGCTAAAAGGAAAAGATCCATTAGCAACACCTAACAAACACACCTATAAAAGAGTACAGACTGACCACATAAGCCACCAGAGCAGCACAGCATGCGGGCTCATCGCCCCCTCCTGGACACTGAGGAAGGAGAAAGAAAATCCATGAGACAGCAGGGCCTGAATTCACTCTGCTACTAATGACACATATCTACTGCAATGATTTCATAGTCATTTTTAGGCTCTTCTGCTGTTTTAGTGATCTTGCCAACACAGAACTACTTCCTTGGGAGGTGACAGTGGTGCGGTGGGTAGATTAGTTGTCTCCCAACTGGAAGGTTGAAGGTTCGAATCTTGGTGCCTGGAGTCCACATGTTGACGTGTCCTTGGGCTAAACCCCCCTGTTGCCTTTGATTGTAGTGCATATGCACACCGGGCCCCTCAGCTCCAAACATAATTTTGTTGCACGTGTTACAATAAATAAAGCTTCGTCTTGTTCTTACACCTGATATCTTTGAGGTTAAGAGCAATGTATTTTAGACCTGAAACAGCTAGAAGCCATAATTTGATACCAATGAAACTTCAGAACTAGACCTCAACGCACTGATCTCCCTAGGCTGAAAGTGTTTGTGCAGTAATTTGTAGTGCTTTGGTATGTAACAATTGTTCTTCACAAATGGCCATGTCATATTGTTTGAATTATTTTACTTACTGATTTATTCTGTATCTGCTTGCTTTTCCCAGTTCAGGGTCAGCCATGGCTGTGAATTTTCCCAGTACAGACTGTGGAATGTAATGTCCTGGTTAGGTTAACAGCCAGTTTTCTAACAGCTCAGGCTTCTTCATGTTATATTCACAAGTGTGACAGATATATAAACCTGCCCTGTTTTCAAAGTAGTTAAATTGCAGATTGATTATGTGTGTTCATAAACTTATAATACATAATGTGTGTTCATAAACTTATAATACATAGAGGCCAGTTTGACCAGCAAAGGGTCACATCTCCATCAGTGCAACTTACAAAACAAACAACCACTAGGTGGCACACTTACTTACTTTACAAGTATCATTGCTGCA